TTTAGGTTAAAAAAACAGCATTTTAGGTAAAAAAAAACATTAAAAGTTCAGGTTTCGTTTATAATTTTGTTTAGCCGCATACCCAAATACAGAACATACCCACAATAAACTATTTCTATGCAATAAACTGTGTTTCACTAAGTGACACTCACTACACAGAAGTTCTATGACAGAACATAAGCTCACTACAAAGAAGGTAACTGTAAAGAAAGTTACTGTTACAGTCTGTGACCATAAGAAAAAATTTTATACCGTTAAGTTGCACGCCCTGGATAAAATATTGGGGCAAAATTTAAAAAGAACACAAAAAAACAAAATAAGTAAAAATACGTAATAATAGATAACAAATAGGTGAAAATAAACTGACAAATTAAAAAATATGTAACAAAAGTATAAAAAGGTAGTTTAAAGCAAAAACCTACAAAAAAGGTAAAAAAGGTGAAAACAAGTTAAAAAAATAGGTAACAAAAGTATAAAAAAGGTAGTTTAAAGCAAAAATCTTCAAAAAAGGTAAAAAAGGTGAAAACAAGTTAGGTTCATATAAAAGAAAATCTTTTAAAACAAATTTTGGCATTATTGGTTTTCAAATAGTTACATCGGTTGAAAAAAGGTAAAATAACTAAAATCCCATCCCTAGTAATAAGCAACAAAATAAATAACCAAACTTATTAAATAATAACAACAGAAAAGTAAAACTCTAGGTAAAAAAAACTAATACGTGTATACCTAACTTAAAGACTAGTAACAGGCCCTAAAACATTCGAAATAGTAATTTAAATAAAAAAATACCTATCGTTTCTTACTTTTCCAACGACTCCTTCGATTTCTTTTGTTTAATAAAAAGGGCCCTGAGAAAACACAGCTTCTCAATATTATTATCACTTAGCCGCGACCTAATCTTAGTACAAATTGTTTCACAAAAACAACGGATCCGCGCTGTTGTCAGCTTGACATTTTTTACCGAAATTACCGGTAAAAGATGTCGATTTTTTCGTCGGTAATTTAAAGAACTTTTAAGGCGGTAAATCGGTAAACCGGTAAATCGGTAACCGGTAATGCAATCCCTAATCACAAGAGAGTGAAAATAAATTGAAAATAATTTGACAGATATTTCGAAAACTTGTTATCTATTGCCTTATGACAACAAGTTTGAGAAATATCTGTAGAATTATTTTCTAATTTATTGATCTCTTGAGTGGTAGGTAGGTATTCAAAAGATTTTTTTTCTTTGACATTTATTATAGAATTTACTAATATAACTGATTTAGGGGTTTTAAATTTTTCTTTATTCGCATATTAATTAAATAAACAAATTTTGTTTGTTTATTTTTTCTTCCGATGTAGAGCTAAACCTTTAGCTGCTCATTTTATTTATTACTTTAGTATACTGACAGTCTGTAAATGACAGAATTTATTTTAATGACAGATGCCATGGTGTTTTCGCGGAAATAATGCATGTAGCATTATTTTCACTATAATAATGTTTTGATTAGCTATAATATATACACACATGACTGAAACTAAAAGTTTCTATTGGTTTTTAGAAACGTCAAAAAATAATCTAAACTAAACAATGTTCAAATAATATGCTCGAAAATTATTGTCGTCAACATGCAAAATCAAAATGAAATGCTCATTTTCCACATTTAACACGTATTGTGGGCCACAATTTGTGGCGCGGAAAACCTTTTACGTACTTACCTGGAGGCGCAGACAGGTCTCAACTTGTATAAAGTACTTGTAAAAATGTACTTATATTTTAGTCCCAAGTACTGAGTACTCTTAGCAGAATGTTACAAGTACAAGTACCCTAAAATGTACTCTAAGTACTTTTTCAAGTACTTGTACTTAAGTACCGCCCAGCTCTGAGTTTAACATTCTAATAGCTAATCTTTATCGAATTAAAACAAAACGGCCAAAAGTCGTTTTTTGGCATTGAAAAAAGTTAATTAATAATGATACCTAAAATCAAATTATGCCACGTTCAATCAAAATTGCTTAGGAGGAGGACAAATGAACATTTTTCGGCCAAGTTTGGGGAGAATTTGCTTCCGGATTGTTATTTGATCCCTATTGAAAATGGGCGGATTCCTCGAAAACTCTTTAGATTGCCATTTTTTCCGATTTTTTTGAAAATTTTCAAAAATGTTCTGCTTCTAAAAGGAAAGGAAATTGGGCAAACAAAAACAGGAATCGAAGGGTCAAATAATGCAGTTTAACGTATTCAAAGATAATCTTCATCGAATTTAAATTTTTTTGGCATTGAAAGTTTGTTAATTAATTTTCCAAAACCAAATCCAAGAAAATATTTATTATTTTTGCCGAATTGCGGTGTTGATTTTGTTAAAAAAATCTCAAACAAAAAAATATAATTGTTCAAACCATTTATCACTTCTAAGCGAGGTGTGGAAATAAAACGCCTATCCCATTAAGAAATATATTTCTAACTAAACAATAGATATGACCTAAAATTATTCAGTTTTATACAAAATTGACTAGAACGTAGAGTAACTTAAAATTAAAATGGAACAACATGTACTTACAACTTAGCCACAGAAATGGTTACGTTTACTTGTGTTGGAAGGCAAAGTCCGGCCTTCGAGATTTGGAAAAGTGTTTGACAGTCAGGCGCCAGAAGGCTATTCTAAAGTCGGGGCTGTAGAAGGCGTAAATAAACGGATTTATGGCCGAATTTATCCAGCCCAGCCAGGTGAGGTACTGCATTATCAGCGAGTTCACTTCGTTGGAGTTGATGAACGGCGTCAGCAGATAGAATATGAAGAACGGCAGCCAGCAAGCGATGAACCGCCGATCACTATGCTAACATACTAAAAGATATTTTTTATCGAATTAAAACGAAACGGCATTGAAAAAAAGTTTATCAATTAGAATCCCAAAATCAAATCGAATATAGGTAAATCCACCAAAATATTAAGTAACAATGCGACGTTCAATTAAAATCGCTTTATAGGAGGAAAAATGAATATTTTTTAAGCAAATTTGGGAAAAAGTTGCTTCGGGACGGCAATTCGAACCCTATTGAAAAATTGGCCAGTTCCTTTGAAATTTTTTTGAGTAGCAATTTTTCCGATTTTTTTAGAAAATGTTCAAAAATTTTTTGCTCCAAAAAGGAAAGTTAATTGGGCAAACAAAAAAATAGAAATCGAAGTGTAAAAGAATGCAGTTTAACATACTAATAGATAATCTTTATCGAAACGGCCAAAAGTCGTTTTTTGGATAGAAAAAAGTTAATTAATTAAAATACCTAAAAATCAAATTATGCCACTTTCAATTAAAATTGCCTATAGGAGGACAAATGAATATTTTTCGGCCAAGTTTGGAGAGAAGTTGCTTCCGGATGGTTATTTGATCCCTATTGAAAATGGGCCGGATTCCTCTAAAACTTTTTGGATTGTAATTTTTTTCCGATTTTTTTGAAATTTTCAAAAATGTTCTGCTTCTACGAGGGTGGATCAATAAGTACCCGTGTTAGAAAGGAAGAGACAAGTTTTTCAAAAAATTTTATTTCTATTTTTCAACGTAATCTCCTTTAAGTGCTATACACTTTTCCCAACGTTTCTGCCATTTTTTTAACCCCTCCAAAAAATACGATTTCTCAAACTCAGCAAAATACGCTCCAGTCTCGACGATAACCTCCTCGTTAGAGCTGAATTTTTTTCCCCCGAGCCACGTTTTCATGTTGGGGAATAGAAAAAAGTCGCATGGAGCCAAGTCGGGCGAGTACGGTGGGTGCGGCAGCAATTCGTAGTGTAATTCTTGCAATTTGACCGCGACAATTCTCGATGAATGTGCTGGTGCGTTATCGTGGTGAAACAGCACTTTTTTCTTAGCCAAATGAGGCCGTGTCTCCTTCAATTTTTCATCGAATCGGTCCAATAATTCACTATAGTACTGCCCTGTGATCGTACTTCCTTTCTGCAAAAAGTCCATGAGGATTATTCCCTTGGAATCCCAAAAAATAGTGGCCATGATCTTTCCGGCCGATGGGACCGTCTTTGCTTTCTTCGGAGCAGATTCACCCCGAAAAATCCATTGCTTCGACTGTCGTTTAGTCTCTGGCGTATAATAATGTATCCAGGTTTCATCAACGGTGACGACTCGACGCAAAAACTCCTGCGAATTTCGATTAAAGAGGTCCAAACACTGCTTCGACATTGACAGCCGTATCCGCTTGTTGTCCACCGTAAGCAATCGCGGCACCCATCGGGCAGATACCTTTCTCATGTGTAACTTATCATGCAAAATATTAATTGCCGTTCCGTATGATACGCCTACGGCCTCTGCTACTTCTCGCACTTTCGTTCGGCGATCTGCGACAATCATGTCTTGGACCTTTTTAACGATTTCCTCGGTAACAACGTCTGCCGGGCGGCCTGGTCGCTCCTCATCAAAAACAGATGTACGACCACGTTTAAATTCGTTGAACCAATATCTTACGGTTGTCATAGATGGTGAAGGGTCCCCATAGACAGCATCCAACTTCACTTTTATTTCTTCGCATGTTTTTCCATCCAAAAATAAAAAGCGAATTACGGATCGATACTGTTCTTTTTCCATTTTATCTATTAATGCGACACACGTATCGTACAAGTGGCTGCCAAATAAAAACCAATCTATGAATCAGTTTGAAATTTAGTATGGTGTCGTGTGACAGATGACAGTACACGATGGTAAAGCCAACTTCCCTCAGCAACGCCACCTGTCTTTAAACACGGGTACTTATTGATCCACCCTCGTAAAAGGAAAGGAAATTGGGATAACAAAAAACGGGAATCGAAGGGTCAAATAATGCAGTTTAACGTATTCAAAGATAATCTTCATCGAATTTAAAATTTTTTGGCATTGAAAGTTTGTTAATTAAATTTCCCAAAACCAAATCCAAGGAAATATATATTATTTTTGCCAAATTGCGGTGTTGATTTTGTTAGAAAATCACAAACAAAAAAATATAATTGTTCAAACCATTTATCACTTCTAAGCGAGGTGTGAAAATAAAACGCTTTTCCCATTAAGAAATATATTTCTAACTAAACAATATGACCTAAAATTATTCAGTTTTATACAAAATTGACTAGAACGTAGAGTAACTTAAAATTAAAATGGAACAACATGTACTTACAACTTAGCCACAGAAATGGTTACGTTTACTTGTGTTGGAAGGCAAAGTCCGGCCTTCGAGATTTGGAAAAGTGTTTGACAGTCAGGCGCCAGAAGGCTATTCTAAAGTCGGGGCTGTAGAAGGCGTAAATAAACGGATTTATGGCCGAATTGATCCAGCCCAGCCAGGTGAGGTACTGCATTATCAGCGAGTTCACTTCGTTGGAGTTGATGAACGGCGTCAGCAGATAGAAGATGAAGAACGGCAGCCAGCAGGCGATGAACCCGCCGATCACTATGCTCAGCGTTTGCGCCGTTTTTGTCTCTCTCCTGAACGAGGACACCCTGGAGGCGGGCTCGAAGTTGAGGATGGACGCGTCCAGGTGCAGCGACTCCGGTCTCGGAGACCGGATGGGCAGGGAGGACCGGTAGAGGCTGGGCCCGCGCGTGTGCTCCATCTGATTGAAGGAATAGTTCGAGCGGAGAGATCTGGAGTGACTCACCGCGGTCTTGGAGCGATGCGGCTCCGCCAGTTGGATCTTTTTGGCCGAAGGGTCCGGGGAATGGCTGAAAAATGTTACGTTTAAAATGTTCATCTATTTTAAGAAATAACCCTGTTGTAAATGACCGATTAATGACTTATAGAAACCAATTGAAGTATTGGTTGGTATTCCTGATAGCACAGTTTATTCTAAGAATGTTTTTTAAACCTCCAGTGAGAATATTCTTAGAATCATGCTATATTTCTTCTAGTCATGTTCTAAGAATGTTTTTTAAACCTTCCAGTGAGAATATTCTTAGGATCATGCTATATTTCTTCTAAAGAACATGCTTAAAAGAAATATAGCATAATGCTAAGAATATTCTCACTGGCCTATAGGCAGGTTCTTAGAAGGTGCAAAGTTTAGTGGTAAAAATTAATCCACTCTAAGCATATGCTTAGAATTTTGAGAAAGTAATTGCTATAGAAAGTTCATTTAGGAATATTCCTGGAACATTCTGTTAAGCATATTCAGTTCAGTTAGGTACCTATATAATAGTAAAATATACCATAATCTACGTATAAAGGTACCTATACTTAGTATTAAATAGTAAGTAAAAACTCAACTATTTGGTTTTTTCTTTTATGAAGAATTATTCTATAAGGAAATATTTTGTTTTTTTTTTTATGTTATTTTATGTTAAAAATAAATATTTATTAATTTGTATACCGATTTTTTATATATGAATTAACATTTTTATGTATAATAACTATCTTCAACTTCAATCTAATCTGACTTATCCCACAAAATTTTCCAATTTTACTTTTTATGAAATGTCATACAACTTATGGTTTAAAGGCCAAATTGTATATTTAATATTTTTAAATAAATATATATTAATATGTCGCAAAATTTTTTAAGGCGACGACAAATACATTTCACTGTCATATTATGACAGTGAGGCGTATTTGTCGCCTCCTGGAGAATTTTACGAATGTAGAATCCAACATATTAGAACGTGGGTATCTGACATATTTGAAAATATTCCTAGAAGCTCCATAAGAAACCTTCTAAGAACATTCCAAAAACGTATTCTTAAAATGTTCTTAGAATGCTTTTTAGGAAGGTTTTAAGAAGCTTCTAAGAATCTAATTGCATCATTAAAAGGGTATCTATTGAATGTTTTAAAAGTCCCTAAGAACATTCTTAGCAATAAGGAAAGGTTCTAAAAATATTCCATTATTCCGGGTCATATCTTCTTAGAAGATTCTTAGAATCAAATTTTGCTATCAGGGATCGATGGTCTGAATTGGGAGCGATATAAAACAGAAATTGGTTTTTACTGGTTTTTTCCATTATGGAAAAGACCGATTACGATTCTACTGCTTTTTAGTGGTTTCGATTGGTTAAAGCTACCAATAGGTAATTTCCAATTGAATTCAATTGGGCATTCCCAGTGTAAGATTCTAGAAAGGAATCTGCCAATTGGTTATTCCCAATACTTTAAAATATGAAAAAGTCCAATTAGGATTCTACTGCTTTTTAGTGGTTTCGATTGGATAAAGCTACCCATAGGTAATTTCCAATTGAATTCAATTGGGCATTCCCAGTGTGAAATTCTAAAAAGGAGTCTGCTAATTGATTATTCCCAATACTTTAAAATATCGCGAACCGCAAAACCAACGTAAGCAGTCCTTGTTCGAATGATTGAGACGCCATCAAGAAACAAACAAGTCTTTGGACGCTTTTTAATGTCGGTTTCTTTTATAATCTGTGTTTTTGTGCTTAGTAGTAGTTGTGTACTTATAGTGGTGTGTACTTATACCTTAAAAAATGTTTATATGCGGACAAAATAAAAAAAATTGACGTAAATAATATTGATTTCGACAATGCCTACAAACAACCTTTGCAAGAAAGACAAAAAAATGATTATAACCGAGTAATTTTGTTTATTTTTTATTACTTGTAAGTTATATGTATCAATACATATCTCACTAACACAAAAAAATAATAAAGAAATAAAGTTACTCAGTTATGATAATTTTTTTGTCTCATCTGTGAAAAATGAATTCTGGTTTTTACCCGGTTATTCTTCTGGGATCTTAATTATTTTTGAATGAAAAATCAACTGGTATTTTTAATCCAAATTTAAAAAAATAAATTGGTTCAAATTGGTTTGAATGGGTTTGGCACTATATATAAATTACCAATTCATTCCAGCCAATAGAGACAAGCATAGGCATGGATTGGTATATTCCAATTTAAGCCGCTGACTTCATTGGAACTTACCAATAGGAATGCAACTGGAATGAATTGGTGATTCATAGCGCCAAAACACATTTCAAACCAATTCAAACCAATTACTTATTTTTTATTGGATTCTATCGGTCATTTACAATAGGGAAGTGGAATATAATGTATGAATTAAAAAAATATTACCATGCACTGATTTGGTGAAAAAAGTACCTGGAGCATCTAAGGTTGTGCTCTTCACATTCCGAAGAAGGATGATCGACATCGGATTCTTCCCTGTTGTGGTTCATAGATAGCTTTGTGCTTTTCTAAAAGAATAAAGTGCATTTTCGTTTAAAGTGACAATCCCCGACAGGTCAATATTTTTATTTACTTACTCTGGTGTGAAGGGTTTCAATGTGAGAAAGCTGGTCGTGTCTTTGTGCCACCACGCATGAAATCTTAGCGTATACATACAGCATAACCACCATGGGTATGAAAAACGATCCCATCGCTGAGAAAATTACGTATCCCGTGTTCCTGTTATATCTGCACTCTTTGTTGTCGTGTTTGCCAGTTTCGTACCTAAACAATAATGATCACAAGTTGTGAGGAGGCACCAGACTCATTTCAAATAATTTAAGTTTTTTTTAGTTACATTTGTTTTCATACGCGACAGTCAGGGCTCCCAAATGTCCTAAAATTTGGCATATTTTGTTTTGTTAATATTTAAAATTGCCCCATGATTTTGTCATGATAAAAACACCAAAATATCAGTTTGTGTACTCTATGGTTGTGTCTATGGGTGTGAATAAAAAATTGTTTTTTTATTTTAGTATGTAGGGTAAAGTAGACAGTTTATAGTTATTGGACAATTAACATTAATACTGTAAAAAACAAGAATTCTATAAATAGTTACCTTAAAGTCAAATCATAAGATGAGGCTGTATACAATTATTACTATCTCAGTCGGTAATAATATAGAACTACTTTATTTTGGGTCCAATATAGGACAAAAAAGTTCGCACGTTACTTTGGTGGTAAGATTTTCGTTTTTTTGTTAAGAGCAGGGCTGTGTTAAATTACAATAAAAATATTTCTAAAAAGTGTAGTGGTATAAATGTGTTCCTCATAGTTTAAACATTGTCACTTTAATGCGTTTTAATTTTAATTCTGAAAACAAACAGTAAAATGGCCATTGTCCAATTGGTTGGTAAAAAATGTAAATTTCTATTATTGGACATAATATGTCCAATATTATACAATATTTGTATCCCGGACATTTACCAGACAATTCTTATGTAAAATTGTCCCCAGAATCCAAAAAGACCGTCAAAAACGTTAAGCAGTTTTTGAGCTATAGTCAATTCTATATTATGTAAAATTGATTATATTTAATTAGTTGATTATATTTCAAAAACTGTCCTACATTTATAACTTTTGACGACATTCTCGGATTCAGCAAATAATATTTCATAGGAATTGACTGCTAAATGTCCTGGATACAAATTGCTGTTGACGAGAATTATTAGTGGCTGCTTTTTCGCTATCATATTTTTGACTAATTAATTTTTAGAAAGTAAGTAATATAGTGATTTCTTCGCAGAATAACAGTTCGGCCATTTCAAGCGGATGGACAGGACAAATCACAAAACTGTTTTTATAAAAAAAATTGTAGGTAATTTATTATATATTATTTTTGCATCAAAATTGTCAAATATATTCTTCTATACATTAAATAAAAAAAATCGCAAGAAATATTTTATAAAAGTAGAGATAATTTCAATAATTGACAGGGGTGGACGGGACAAGATAAATCTTTTTTTTGTCCCGTCCACACCTTTCAATTATTAAAATTATATAGATCTACTTTTATAAAATATTTCTTGCGTTTTTTTTATTTAATGTATAACCTTAATAAAAGAAGAATATTTTTGATAATTTTGTTGCCAAAATATTATGTAATAAATAATCTACAATTTCTTTTATAAAAACAGTTTTGTAATTCGTGCGTTTCGCGCGCTTGAAATGGCCGAGTTAAATACAGTGCATGATAGAGAACATAAAAAATTAATGGCAACAAAATTAATAAATTCAAAAAATACCCGAAAAAATATTAGATATATATAAATCATCCTGTTTCGGCCTAAACATTTTAAGTGCTTCACAAACTAGAGATACCACACTTAATGATATTTGCAACATACTGTTATAGAAGTTAGACCAAGGAATTAGTGGTTACCTTCAGAATCCAGAAAAGGGATGAGGAATGCGAGAAAGAAATATTTGAATTATGATATTTACTAAAACGATATAAAAAAAATTACCTAAAACAGCAATTTATCTTTAAAAAATATTTAACAATTTATGTTATTTGATGCAAAGTTGTTATGTTTATATAAAAATGGAATGTCAAATAACTATGGTCCATGTGTCCAATTACTATATAAAATGTCCAATTACTATACTTTTTTGCATGTTTTTATAAAACTATTATTAAAAAGTCAAATATTCTTATTTTTAAGTAGGTAAACGTAAACAAAGTTTAAACAAACAAACTATCTTTTTTTATATATTTATAAGAAAAACAACGGCATATATAAATTTTAAATAAATAATATTCCTTAAGTGCCCAATAACTATGTGGTTTACCCTATACCTTAGGGTATAAAGTAAATATTTTTATTTTGTTTTTGTTATCCAATAAATAATTTATTTTTATCTAATAAATCGTTCGCAAGTTTTTAAGTTTTAAATTTGTCTGAAATGTCCTTAAATTCTACTAAGATTTGTCCTAAAATCCTAAAAATAGCACATACAAATTTGCTGGGAGCCCTAGGGCAGCTGCACAGTGCATTTTGTATCTCATGAGCTCGCTAATGAGATTTCCATAAAAAATAAACTGTAATAATCAATTTTTAAGGTATCTCGAGTTTGGAAACGAATTTTTGAAATAATAAATTTGTGGGAAATATTTTCCATAGATTCTTACAAAAATTCTCTCAAATCGCACATTATCATACATGTTTCCATGACTCCAAGTGATCTTTTAAATACACATTAAATACACATTGAGTTGTGACTTTATGACGTTTTCAAGTTAGTTGACAGTTGTCAAATGTGATACAATCGACAAAATAAAGTGGTCTTTTTGGGAAATAATACTAAACGTGCAAAATATTTTATTATCTCAATACAAAAATAAAAAAGTATTAAATAGTTTCTTGACATTTTAATTTCGCCGTTAATGATAAATCATTAACAATTTCGGGTGGAGTACCCATAAAAACATCCTCTTCACTTTCAGTGTGAAAAACCGCTTCTACATCAAATTTAAACATACAAAGAAAATACTCAGCGAGTTCTAAATAAAACGTAATTTAATGTTTTAAATTTAGTTGCGAACTAATGCGCCTCCATTGTTTGTCTGGAAGTACGCTGTAGACGCTCGGAAAGTTGTTGCTTAAAATTATTCGCGAATTAATTCTAAACGGACTTAAATGAGCTCGGATTAATAGTTTAATCGTAAATCTTCTTATTATGTAATTAAATTTCCCCATATAATAGGCGAATTTAATGAAACACGATTATATTCTTTATTAACAACTTTTTGATGCCACGTTTAACGTTCGCAGCTACTCCACTAAAATGTACATCAATTATATAGTTTTATTATTGCATTTCTTATAAGATTTGTTATTGATATTTTAAACTATTGTATTTTACAATAATAATTTACAATTTATAAAGGATGATAGTACACGCCAAAATAAGAAAGTTCTTTATCATTATTGCATTAGAGCTACTGTTTTTTAATAAAAAAAATTATGAATTTTTTACAAAATCAAGGACCCACTGGATGTCACTGACCTATCCTATATACCATCCCTGTTGCAAATGACCGATTAATTCCTTATAGAAAGTTTCTATTAGAAACCAATTGAAGTATAGCACACTTTATTCTAAAAATGTTTTTTAAACCTTCCAGTGAGAATATTCTTAGGATCATGCTATATTTATTCTAAAGAACATATGTCTTTTAAGCATATGCTTAAAAGACATATAGCATGATCCTAAGAATATCCTTACTGGCCTATAGGCAGGTTCTTAGAAGCCCTGTTAAAAATCACCCATATATGGTCTATATATAGACCAATAGAAACCAATAAAAAATCAGAATGGAATGAATTGGTCTCTATTGGGCCTATTGGTTTCTCAACAGAATGAGCATTGGTTTCTAATGGTAATTTCCGTACTGGAAAATGCCAATAGATTACCTAATGGTCTGAATTGGTTTTTATAAGAAGTTACAAGTACAGGAAATTCCCAATTGAAATTCAATTGGTAAATACCACTTAAATGTTCAGCGCCTGCGCAATTTAATACAAATGACCACTTGTTTCTATTGGCAATTTTCTTACTGGAAAATACCAATAGATAAACTAATGGTCTGAATTGGTATTTTATCGGTGTGAAGGTACAAGGAACCCTATTGGTATATACCACTTTAATATTTATTTTCAAAATTCGCCAATAGGTAGGCAACCCATGCATACCTCTCGCCTCTGTAGCACAATACATAGGCCTATAAAGGTGGAATACCTTGAGCTGCTAAGTAAGGATTCCTTACTAAGGCAAAATTACTGGCCATGGAAACGCCTGGCGTTTTGCAATTTTTAAAGGGGCAGAGGTCGTCCTGTAGCCCACTCTGCGAAAAGTAAGCAGTGGGCCCCACTACTTACTTTTAGCAGAAGCTATTTATAAAATTTAAATTAAATGTTAAACAGCACTATTTTTGAGAAATTATTTAACCATCAAAACACGTAAATTTTTACCTTAAAGACGTCTAAAATGGATAGTGGGGACCAATTCAAACCAATAGCGGTACCTCTGGAAAATCCAAATAGCTCTATTGGGAATTACCAATAAAATATATCTAAGTATAATATATATATTGGGAATTACCAATATAATACGATTAGCCTCTATCGGTCTGTATTGGGATTTTCCAGCGGTGTCGCTATTGGTTTGAATTGGTAATTCATGGTACAGATACCACTATTGAGACCAATTCAAACCAATAGAGCTGCCGCTGGAAAATCCCAATAGCTTTTCTATTGGTCTTTATGAGTGATTTTTAACAGGGAGGTGCAAAGTTTTAGTGGTAAAAATTAGTCTACTCTAAACATATGCTTAGAATGTTAAGAAAGTAATTGCTATAGAAAGTTCATTTAGGAATATTCCTGTTACGCCTAAGTCCATTTTCAAAGAATTGGAGAAAAACAATATTAAACATTTCTATTTATTGTAACTAAATTGTCATTCTATTAAAAATTGGAAGGTTTTACAAGAATGACGCAAAAAACAATTTAGTTACAATAAATAGAAATGTTTAATAGTGTTTTTCTCCAATTCTTTGAAAATGGACTTGGGATAGTCTTGCACCAAACCAGCGAAACTACGTATAAAGGTATTAAATACTACATAAGTAAAAAACACAATCCAAAATATTTTTTATAGTTATTTGTCAAATTAAAACAATATTCGATAGGATGCTTTTTAGGAAGGTTTTAAGAAGGTTTTAA